TTTTTTATTTTTATTTATTTATGTGGTGCTGAGGATCAAACTCAGTGCCTCCCTCACATGTGATCGACAAATACTCTACCACTGAGCCACAACCCCAGCCCCCAATGTCTCTTTAAAAATTTAGATTCTCAAGAGTACTTGTACCATCCCCATGTCACTGCCACCACTATCATCATCAGTAGCACCATCACCATCATCTCTCAGTTAAAACAACTATAGAGCTATTTTTAGTAATAAACATAATTGATAAAGCATTTGGAAAAGTTCAGCAGGTAATAAATACCAGAGGAGTGAAGATGGAGCAGCTCTTGGCTTAGAATCAGTCTATAATATTGGGTGGAGAGTGAGTCTGGCCCCTTTTCTCTTCCTTAGTCTGTGGTTTATCTCTTTCCCCCTGCAGAGTTGCCCTGGAGTTCCATGCCAAATCAGGAGAAAAAATTCAGAACATTGGGATTCACCAGTTGTAAATGAGAACTCTTAAGGCATATGAAAGCATTGAATTATTCTGATGTCATTGAAATAATCTCCATTTTATTTCCCTTCTCTTTCTATAATATGAAAATTTCATTTATACACTTTCACTAGTTTTCTGGAGCAAGATTTACTTCAAATAAGAAAGAGTATAGTCTTTCTCCCCATTAATGAATTAATTTTCACTGGTTTTGGAAATTTGATTTAAATAAAAAAAACTCAACTAAAATGTTAGCTGAAAATGGGGGGACTCTGCGTGGGCCTCTCCTGGTGAGTGCCTTTTGGCTGGAGGCACCGTTAGATTTTAATGTTGCCAGTCCCACTCCTATTTAATGTCGCCAGTACCACTTTCCATTAAGGTATTAAGATGAGGTACTCTCTATGTCTATGTCCTCTGATAACTTGCTTTTAGTTTTTGCCTTAAACTTTGGAAAGTTAATGGAGCATCTTCACTTTCTATTTTTTCAGAATTTAAAATCTATTTTTTTCAGAATTTGAAATCTATTTTGTCTTTTATTATCTTTCTTTCTTTGACGATGGGGTATTTTATTTTTTTATCATGTTCTGGTAAGGGTGAGAAAATTTTAAAATTTGAGATATCAGCTGAAGAACTTAGGAAAAAAAAAACCCATCTAGTTCATTTAGAATGGCTTTCTGGTGAAAACCATGCTACGGAACATACATTTCACGCTGCACAGCTCAAAATCAGTCCCATGGTTTTTATGAAAGTAGATTAATTAGTGTGGTGTGTGGGCAGATCTCCCAGGGCAGGTTTTCACAGGCAGCTTTGCCAGTGGAACTCTGTCTGAACCTGTAGTTCTGTGAGAATTATTTTTGAAGGGTGTAGGCTCTTCATTCACATATCTTTGGTATTGTGTGGGATATATATTAACAGGTAGGCGGATCCTGAGGATAAAGGACCATAGTGTAATAGATGTGCTTGGGCTTTGGAGTCAGGCTACCTGGATGTAGGTGCTGATCTTTTCACTTAATGGTTGTGTGGCTGTGGGCAGTTATGGTTTCAGTTTTATCATCTGAAAAATAGTGGTTTCTGCCTCATACAATGTCATGCTTAGTGTGAGGATTAAATGAGGTAACATTTAAAGTACTGAACACCTAGGAATTGTTTAAGAAATTGGTAGCT